AAAGATATGCCGTTAATTTCGTTCAGAAGTCGTCTATGCCAGAGGTCGGATGGGAAATATTCTGCATATGCCCAAATTAATATTTAAATTAGGTTAAGTTGCGACGGCGGTTTTCATTGGCTGCTAAAAGGATACATGGTGCTCTCAAACTCCCATCATCCAATGCTGCATCCTATAGCGTCCATCTTCCACATTTCTTACCACTGCGATAAAGAAAAAGCTATATTTTGTCGACATTTTGATAATATATCTGAATAGATATTGAGAGTCTGTGTATATATATATTTCCTCTTTTATACGGCATCGTATTTTTGAGACAAACTAGCAAGAAAACTACGACGATAGCGTATTTTTCTGTCTTAATCTTTTGGTACCAAAACCAAAATTATTTCTGAAAATAGATTTGTATATATTTGTAAATAATTGTTGTACATAAAACGAGACATAAAGTAGCCAGCTAAGTTTTTTATTGACACAGAATATAGTCCTTTTGACTGTTACGTCTTAGTGTTTTGTATTTGCCTGCAGTTGAAGGAATTTTGTAGTATTTAAATTTTTTAACATATTTGATCGATATTGTTTCATACTTATATTATAGAAATGTTTAACACTAACCTTAATAAAGTTTTGAGAAGCGTTTTAATTGCAGGGGATTCCAACCTGAAGCAGCTTGTACCAATGTTTGAATACCCAGTTAGAACACTGTGCATACCTGGTGCCAAAGTACAGAATGACCGGAAAGAATTCTATTCCCAACTGATGAGTGCCATGAAGACAGAAAACCCGGACCAGATTGTTCTGCATCTAGGTTCGAATGATGTATTTGGTGATGTTGAATCAACTTTGAGGTAAGGAGGTTTAAAAAAAACAAATACAAAAATTTATACCGGTAGTCAACTTTCGATTTGTGCACTTCCCTTAAAATCCCCTTTAGTATGTAACAATACATCTAATCGCTATTTGTCCGCCATTACTGGACATCACAAAGGTTCCCGTGAAATTTTGACACCACAATGGAAAAGTGATTGTTGTATGACATCAAAAGTTAAAGCGGCGCAGATTCTCAGGCCCACTGGCGCAGATTTCCAAATATCGATAAGGTGTATGGTTATGTTATTACGTCACAGTAAAAACGGATTGTTCAATGACATAATTTATGCCGATTGACCCCGAGTCAACCAGTGTTGCTCATTCATTAAAAAACAACTCGAGATTGGTGTATTGTAAACCTGTTTGCTGATACTATATAAAAATAAAAGAGATGAGGTATAATTTCCCATTAGATGACTATCCACCAAAGTTCAAATGTAGTGTATGTAAGCAATCATGAGGTTCGTAATAGGGGACCTTCATGATGAACAATGTTAAAAATTCTTGCCAAATGATGTTTTTGGTGCGTTACCATGATTACGATAAAATTTACATGTTTTGTGATAAAAAAAAATGAATGAATTTGGCCGAACACATTAAATTCTTTCCCAAAATAACGGTAACCGATAATTATTTGAGATCTTTGACAAATCATGTAATTTGATTGGCTGATTATTATTGATTTCAAAGAAACATTTGTTATATATAATATAAAATTACCTAGTTTCTAATGGTAATGAATTTGGCAGGTATAGCTTTCCTTTTAATTATAAACAATAGGTTGAATAATCTTATTTACTATAATGAATATGATGAATATTATTTGCCTCATGTACAAGTTTCTTATTTTGTCTTTAGATCTTATAGATTCCTGATAGAGAATTTGCTGCTGAAATTTAAATCGTTGCAAATAGGTATTTGTGGCATACTTCCCCGTGCAGTAAACCACTATGAGAGTAGTTATTGGAACATGTCAGCATTGCCAAGACTGCAGAGAGATGTCTTTAAGTTGAATGCTGGTATACAGTCTTTAACTTGTGGTTACAGTAGATGTTTTTTTATTGATTATGCACAGATCTTTAAACCTGCTGTTCATCTTGGAAGGGACGGACTTCATGTAAATAGAAATGGAGCTTTTATTTTGAAGATGACTATAGAGAACTATTTAGCAGAGAGACAAAAGTGTGTTACATCCGTGACTGCAACCTTATCTCACGTACAGGTACCTGATGTAGAATCTTTGTCACCCAAGATGACCTATGCAGAAGTGGTGAGACTACCAGTACCTTCTTCTGATACAGGAAAGAGACCTTTTGACACGGTATTTAATAGATTGTGTATAAGAATAGATGAAAGCATATTTGTATTTGTCTATCACTATCTTGCATGTCTGACAAATAACTTGTTAGAAATTAACATTTGATTTTCTATGATATTTTTTAAATGGTCTCCCTGGCATTTTAATTCAGGTTTTTAAATGCAGGCTCTGCCTTTGAAAAAAATAAAAGTACATTTGTTCATTGTACATGTTGATGTACTAGATAAGAAATGGAATTATAAACAAATCATAACATGATAATGACATAAGTATTACAAAATAATGGATTTACTTTGAATATTATCTTTTTGTGAAGTGTTTATTATAGTTAACACAATTGAAACGGTTTCCTTACTGTTTATGCAGGAACATATATATTGACGGGACTTGACACTACCTAATTGTAGCCAATTTTATCGTCGTGTCATAGGTAATAAAGATACGATACGGAAACGGACATGTTTCAAAAACGTACTCGCTATTATCCTAATAATTTCTGATAATATCAATAAAATGTCATTCAAACTAGTTTTACAGTTGTATCAAACTTGTATTCTGTCACTTCAAGTTTGTTATAATTGCATTCATTTTATCACAGAATGGTACAGAATGCATACAGTATTAAAAAAATGGCGCCAATTGTATTCCCAAATTCAAAAACATTATAAAACACTTCACATCAAATAAATCACACTTATTTTGGTCATTTTATATGACAAAATATATCTACTTTATGATAAAACTTGTATTTATTTACGATTAGAATTATGTGATTACTTTATTGAGCAGTTCCGATAAATTTTCAGTCAGACGCCACCAAAATCCATAAATCATGCGAAGTCTTGAGGAGTCCGAGATTTTATCAATTTTATACTGGAAAGCCTATCCGATTCATTTCCCGTTAGATATACTGTTCCCAGGTTTATGTAACTGCTGATTTTATATGATATGTACATGTATTAACATTTGTCTTTGATTGATGTTGAGAATTACATTTGAATGTTTATTACAGGATGCTGAACATCAGAATTCCTCAAGAACCCCTTCTAAGAGGAAGAGATTGTCTTCAGCTGGGGCAAGAAGATCAAATAATAAAAGAGTAAGTGAAAAATTAAAATTTGTACTATTTAAAATAGAAAATATCATTTTATAATACAAAACAAAGATAATATCATAAAATCATAGATTCTCTATAAGTTCATAAGCAGCTATGATAGACCCTAATTTAAAGTTATAGGATAAATTGCTAATAGATAAAAAAAAAAATATAGGGCTGCTAACATGCATTTTATTGACATTTCATGGGAAAATATACCTGTCATATTTTATATATATTTTGAATTAATAAAGATGGGATGTTAACAAAGTTCGGTGCTATATTTTTTAAAAGACTTATAAATTTATAGTATATAAATAAGTTAAAAAAACATAACTGATTAAAGGTTTGTGTCCTTGTTTTTAAGATGTAAGCCATTTAAAATTTGGTGGGAATTTATTCTCTCTAGATTTTCCATACATTTAACATTAGCACCTTTTTCTTTTAAAAACTATGTAAAATAAAAATAAAAGGCTTTTTAAACTATATGTTATAAATTAGGAAAAGAATAGACGGAGTTAGCATTCTAACTTTTTGATGGAACTACATGTGAATAAAACCAGAGGATTACCAATATCTGTCAAAAACAAAGACTAGCAAACATCCTTAAATGATTTGAACAAAAATTATATAACTTTATTTGTTTTCATTACCTTCTTAATTTAGTCTCACAGAAAACCAAGAGGAACTTATAAAACAGGGTTTGTCATCGTTGCATTATTGTGTTACCTTTTAATGTGTTTTTGTTATTGTAATTACTTGAATGAAGAAGTTTTTTGATTTACAACTCCATTGATGTCTTACTAACATGAATGCATGATGTTGAACAAAACTTTGAAAGTTAATCGTTATAAGTTGAAGTATTCTAATTAATTTTAAATGACCACTAAATACCATGGCATGCCTATAAAAAGTTGATATTTTTTTTCTTTTTGTAATTACTTGAATGAAGTATTTTTTGTGGTTTAAAACTTCATTGATATCTTACTAGCATGAATGCATGATGTTGAAGAAAACTTTGGAAATTTATCGTTATAAGTTTAATTATTCTAATTTTATTTTAAATGCACACTAAATACCATGGCATGCTTTTTAAAAGTTGATATTCAAGTGTTTTAAATGCTTGCATGTTAAAAAAAATTGCAACAAAACTTCATGAGGCAACAACAATTTTAGTGTTTCTAATTTTAAATACTATCAAGGAGCTTTTACTTTAAAGGATAGGTTATCTAGAAGTCTGAAAACAAGTACACATATGATGTATATATAAATACTATAGCACATTTGAATTTATATTGTATTGCAGAAGATTCATTTGTACATGCTTAAAAAAAGGTTGAAAACAATGAAATATGAATAACAAAATCCTTTAATCCAAGATTGTACCACAACTTAAATCTCTTCATAGTTTTAAACTGTTATATTTTTCTAATTCTACTTCCACTTCTTATAGATACAGTTTAAAGAGGAATGAAATAGTCCTAGATGTTACTGAGGATCTGGCTGTTATCTTGTCATCCTCAGTCATTCATAGTTTCTATCAGGTATTGTTTTGTTTACTTAAAGACTTATGCTGATATTGAAATGCAGAAAATTAAAATATCATTTATCTTAACATTTAATTTTTTAATCCCTACAAATTATATAGAAAGATTAATGAGACATAATTTTTGAATTCAAAGGCAAAAACATTTAAAGAATACAATAAGTCGCAAGTACAATGTTTCTTGAATACATTTGTTACTCTATCCTTAATACTTTCTTGTGCTTGATTTTGTTAAGTTACTATTTCTATAAAGCTTAAATTATTCAATTACCCTGTAATATCATAGGAAATGTACTGAATTATTGGACTTGAATATTCATTTTATTGCAAAAAGGAAGATATTTGAATAATTATTGCATTTATTTTAGACTGACACGAAAAAGCAATCTGTGGAATCCTTACAAGTGAAGCAATCAAAGAAAACAGCTGTGACTAAGAAAGAAAAAAAAGTAATCTTGTTACAGTTTCTATTCAGTTCAAATATTTACACCAAATAATAACATAAGTTAATTAGAATTTTTTTTAAATAATCTATGTAAACGTTTTGAATTCGGTGTATTTCTATCTTGCGTCTATATTAATTTTTTAATAGATTGAACAGAAAAGGCAGATACAATAGTTTTTGTACTGACATGATTATTTTCTGCTTTTAAACATTATTTTACTGTCAGTATTTTGTTTTTTGTGGGTGTTTGATTTTTTTTACCAGACATCCAGAGGAAGGTGGTATTTAATCTTGTTTACCTACAGATATTGAAATTTGCAAATCATACCAGATTGATAGATGTATGATATATCAAAAGTTGTTCATTTAAAGTTCAATATGCAATATTGTTTCAGAGCACTTATAATTGTCCTGTTTGTCCAGTAATATGCTCAAGAGAAGATTTTCTGATAGACCATGTTATTTGCTGTCATGCTAAAAAAGGTTTGGTATTAAAACTTCTTATAATTTAAGTATTGTGCTTTTCAGTTATGATATTTTTGGTATATAGAATGATTTTTGAAATCACACAATAGGCATTTTTACATTATAGTGGTCAATATTAGGATTAATATAGGATTGAATGAGACTTCTCAGGACCAGTATGAGCAGTATTAAAGTGCCTTCCCTGGGTATAATGTATTATAATAGGAACAGGAATGAGTATATATTAATTAAGCACATTTAAAAATGTATTTAGTCCTCACAGAAATCCGTTTGTATGTTTTCAAATATGCAGATTACTTCAGTCCGTTTATTTTACTATATTATAAATATTCAGTTATCACACATTCATATGATATAACAGGAACTATAAAAACAATTGTTACAAGGCAAGCAACACCTCACAGAAAAAAGACACCTCACAATTTTAGACAATGAACTGAACATACATGGACTAGATACCCTTACAGTTTGTTTTTATTACTGTTTTTTTATATTGAGATAAAAAAATAATTTACTAAACTGAAAATTCTGTATTTCAAGAATGAATATTATTTAATCTCAAAAATATGGATTAACTTTGGTGATCCAAAAGAGTAAACAATTTCTCGTAGGCACTTTCTAAGTTATTTAAGATATTACTGGTGTTAAATATATTTAAATTTCCTATGCTTGCACACCTCTAGAAAATGAATGATATGTACAGTCGAATAGGATTGCTGAATGCAAATAGATATGTATATGTTAAAACTTATGGTGTCTTTTTTTTTTCCAGGCAAAACTCACTTAGTCAAAGATCTTTCTCTTCAGGTTTGTAATGTTTGGAATTCATTATTTCTGGTGATAATCATTTGAAAATGTGGTGAATTAGTTTTTGTAATTATTTTGTGCGGTATAAAAGAAATGTTTGAATTATTGGTTGTTTCTATATACACAAGGAAAAAAGAGAAGAAATGCATGTACCAATCTGACAATTTATTACTTATAGATACCCTTTTACAAATTTATTTAGGTTTTTGAAAAAAAAACTTTTTTATTTTGCTAGGTACCAATAACTGAGGAACCTGTAGAGGAGCTTAGGAGTTCCTATGACGAGAATGATAAACACATAGCATATGGTAGTGTATACATAGGTAAGAGTGTTTTAGGAATTTTAATGTATTGGATGACATAATCTTTTCCACTATATTTAATATTGCAATAGACTTATTACAAATGAAATAGTATGGGCTTCACTCAAAAAGATGCGTCTTTTTTCCCCTTGTGCATTTTGTGTATCTTACCTTTCAAATTAGGGTGCTATTTTATTTTTTCCTTGTCTACAGTTACATTTTAAAGCTAGATTGCAACATTTATGCTCTATTATTAATATATTATTTGTGTGCTATGTCCCTATTTAAGCTTAATTTTCGAAATCACACCACTTCCAGTCATATATTGATTATAAAATTCTGAAGCCAGCAAATCAGCTAGGTCTAGGTCAATTGAACAAACTTCTAAGCAAGTCCTTTATTGTTACAGAGGGTTATGAAGTGGATTGTATTATTCCATCACAAACAGAGTTTGCAGAGAGTGATGAAGTGGAGTGTAGTATTCCAACAACAATAGAGTTTGCAGAGAGTGATGAACTGGAGTGTAGTATTTCAACAATAGAATTTGCAGAGAGTGATGAAGTGGAGTGTAGTATTCCAACAACAATAGATTTTGCAGAGAGTGAGGAAGTGGAGTCTAGTAGTCCCACAAGAATAGAGTTTGCACTAACAACAGTGAAGGTTTTGGCAAGCAGATGTTGGAAGAACTTCAAAAGGTTTATCCTGCATCTCTGTGGGGATGTTGAAGAAAATCCAGGACCTACAATGGTAGATGTAAAATATATTTATATTACATGATTTTTTAACCAATATGTCCACTTATGACAATTTAATTAAAAACCCTATTTGACTTTAAAATGTACAGGATAATAACAATGAAGAATACAACAACTTCCTAAAAAAAATCAGACAGCGTATGCCCAATACATTTATGTTTTTTTATGATATAACAGATATATGAAATACATGTTGTATAGGTTCATATAATTTTTATGAAGTGATTTTCAGGTATATAAACTTCTATAACTATTTGTTTATTATATATGCTTTTATTTTCTTTCAGCTGAAGTGCAAGTGGGAGCAGTGTACAGAGGACAAGTTCGCTGATATTCGTCTATTAGCCCAGCACGTGATTTCGCACATTCATCCTGGAATTCTTTGCCAATGGGAAGAATGTGTATATTGTTGTCCAAATGAACAATACAAACTGGAAATTCATGTGCTACAACATATATACTTGGTACAGATTTTAATTGAAATTATATATAAAAATAAAAAAGATGTGGTATGATTGCCAATGAGACAACTCTCCACCAGAGACCAAATGATGTGGAAGTTAACAACTATAGGTCACCATACGGCCTTCAACAATGATCAAAACCCATACCGCAGATGAAGCTATGAATGAAAGGCTTGAAGTGAAAAGTATATAACAATTCAACAAGAGAACTAACAGCCTTATATATGTACAAACAATAAATGAAAAACAAATATGATATACAGCAACAAACGACTAACACTGAATTGCAGGCTCCTGACTTGGGACATGCACAAATACATACAGAATATGGCGACGTTAACCAGTTGTTGGCATGACACGGGTTATGTTCTTCTCATATATGTTATGATGGTATGATACTAAACCCCTAACGGGAAGGATTGTGCCTGATATTCATATGATGAAGACATAATCTTTCAATCAGTTTAATTGAAGTCTGGAGCTGGCATGTCAGTTAACTGCTAGTAGTCTGTTGTTATTTATGTATTATTGTCATTTTGTTTATTTTCTTTGGTTACATCTTCTGACATCAGACTCGGACTTCTCTTGAACTGAATTTTAATGTGCGTATTGTTATGCGTTTACTTTTCTACATTGGCTAGAGGTATAGGGGGAGGGTTGAGATCTCATAAACATGTTTAACCCCGCCGCATTTTTGCGCCTGTCCCAAGTCAGGAGCCTCTAGCCTTTGTTAGTCTTGTATTATTTTTAATTTTAGTTTCTTGTGTACAATTTGGAGTTTAGTATGGCGTTCATTATCACTGAACTAGTATATATATTTGTTTAGGGGCCGGCTGAAGGACGCCTCCGGGTGCGGGAATTTCTCGCTGCATTGAAGACCTGTTGGTGACCTTCTGCTGTTGTCTGTTCTATGGTCGGGTTGTTGTCTCTTTGACACATTCCCCATTTCCATTCTCAATTTTATCGACGTTAAACATGTTTGCTGGAGACAAACCCCACCCAACCCCCTCCACTTTAACCTGGTGGTATAACAGTACAACATCAGAACAAGATATAAGTAACAGTTGAAAAGGACTTAACTCATCTGATTGATACAAAGCGCCAAAAAACTGACAAAAACACAAAAGACACAAAGTATAGATTTGAGAGTACTCAGAGTTACTGAAAACTAGATCAAAGCCAAAAATAACTAATAAAAAACATGTATCTAAGACTATGTGCAATTACTAGTTTCACAAGTTATTTAGGGAAAAGAAAAATAGATTAAAGAACATCATAATTTCACCCAAAAGAAAAAAAAAAAGTATCTTTGTATTGCATGAGGCTAATTGTTATGTCTCAATCAATGGAGATCATATCATATATATTACCATGTAAATTGTACCAATTTTCTTTAAATAATGCGGAGACATTGATTTTAAAGCATTTTTATTTGTAGGAACAGTTTACTTTTCAGTCAATTGAAGAATGGGGAAGAGCACTTCCTTCAGGACAGTTTTCAGAGAATTGTACTGATCTTCACTTGTGTCCTCCTAATTTGGTGAGGTTATGTCCATTTCAGCCTAATATAAAAATAAAAAAAAACACTTTTGTACAATCATTCAACATTGCATATTCCATATCAATTTTTATTTATTAGTATTTGAAATATGTAGTATGATTGACAATGAAACAACTATCAAACAGAGTTGAAAGAATGTAGATTTTAGCGACTAAAAGTCACTACAATCTTCAACAATGAGCAATACCTATACCATATAGTTAGCTTTAAAAGGGCACAACATGAAAAATGTGAAATTAAAAAACAGTCTGATATATTTTTAAAAAAAATAACGAAAAACAGATATGTCTTGTTTACAGAATATAAAAATAAGAAGATGCAGTATGATTGCCAATGAGACAACTCTCCACAAGAGACAGATTGCCATAGAAAATTTAAAACTATAGGTCACCCTACAGCTTTCAGCAATTATGTTCATTATTTCAGCAAATATTATATTTAATTTATCATTGGTATGCCTAAATGTTCATTAATGACCTTCACAATAGAAAATAAATCTGCCATCAAGAACCTACATGTATTAATTCAATATCAGAAATTTGCATTATAAGATGTCTCAAATACTAAAAACAAATACGATATGTTATAATGCACACACATATATGTAATATATATTTATACTTATTTTTGTTGCAGAAAATTAAGTTAGGCCTCCCATTGTTAGATGAAGAATTTAGTATGCCATCTCAGTACCCGTATACTGTTAAAGATCATCAGCTTTATGTACTACAATTACAGACAGAGAATCCCGAAAATTATGAAAGATTAGTATCTGCCTTTCAACAAAAGGTTGAAACCATGAGTGATACTACAGCTAGTCAATCTGGAACTGAACCCTCAACTTCTACTAGTGGTAATACCACAGAGCTGACAATCCAGGGAATTGATCAATTGGCTGTCTTGAACTCTAACATGACACGCTCAAGTCAACAGGTTATTGTCACAAACCGTCCTGAGCTGACAGGTACCAATCAGAGTACAGTAAAATTTACACTCAGAGATGAAACAGAAATAGTAACAAGGAAGTATATCTCAAGCAATTCTAAGAAGAGAAAATACGTAGCCTCCAGCATTCAAAACCTTAATGATAGAAACATGACCGAAAATGATCTAATAACAAACTTAAATATGTGTAGACAGGCTATTTTGGTGGAACATAATATAATCAGCAAAATGCAAGATATGAAATTTCTTGATCCAAATAATTGTCTATTTTTATTTGAGGAAGCTGCTATTAATATGTCAACTTATCCAGACTGCTCTGAAGGAGTTTTCATTTTTTCAATCTTTGATATTGAGATTGAAAATCACAATGCACCTGTACATTATATACGATACATAGAATCAGGATATTACAAACATTTCATGGAGGAGACTTTTCTGGATGTAATATGTCAAACGTTAGGAATTCTGCAAGATAATGTATTCTTATGCAACATCCTAACTGGTGGAGATCAGCAGAAAATGCTCATCGAAAAGAAAAACAAGGACTCAAGAAAATCTAGAACACGCCCTGACAAAATTTATGCCAACAATTTAAAGAGCTTAAAATCTAGAAGACAACAATTGTGTGAAAAAGTTAAAGACTTTTGTGACATTGAACTAGCTGCTTGTTTTGTGCACACTGCTAGACATGGTTATAAAGTTAAGATAGATTCAGATGCCAGTGATGGTCTTTACTTTTCATCTAACAATGAACTATTCCACACAGAAATCATACAAAACAAGATACTTCATTACCCAGAAGTGAAAAATGCAGAAGTTAGTGACAAATGCTCAGATGACTTTATGAAGCCTCTCCCTGCTAGTAATGTTAATAACCTATGTTACAAAAGTTGCATGATTAACTTTCTATCAAATGATCACAACAGATTCCTTGGAAAAGATAATTTGCGCTATCATTACAGATTTTCAACAAGTCCAAAGGCCACCTCTTTGAGAAATCGGGTATTGTACTTGTACAAAAATCATCAGCTGAATGAACTTCAAACCATTTACTCATCTTTCCAACAAGAAGACCAGAATCAAGAAAACATAAATAACCAAAATATGAATGATCCCACTGGAGAACCTCAAACAAAAAGAACCAGGACATTTATTCATCGGAAGAAAATTCTGACAAAAGAAATGGCTTTGCAGACTATTTCAGGACAAAATGTGGAAAATATGTTCAAAAAAGTAAATTTATATGATAACTACAAGAAAAATCTTTTACAGAATCGAAGTTTTATTATCCAGGTTTACGATGAAGAGAAAGTTATTGCAATTATGAATGATTATGATGATGAAAGTGGGGAATTTAGAAGCTCTGATTATGTAAAAACATCAAGGGATCTTTTCGAGAACGGTTATTTTTACACTTGCAACTGTCGTATCTATCGTACCTTGTTGGAATCCCTGGATAACAATATGGAACAGTTTGATGCTCTGGATGAAAATGGTATTAAATGCATGCATTGTCGTTTTTTGCATCAAGAGGTATCACCAAATTTGGAAAGGAATGAGCAAGCAACGGTAACAAACATTCAAGTAGTCATACAAGATGCTCTGTTATACAAGGATAGGAAAATTATTGAATTGCCAACTACAAGACCAGGAACCAAAAAATTTTCAATTTTGATAGATGATGACATTTCATTAGTTCATTTGACATTCAATTCACGTCTTCAGCGCTATATAGTTTCCTGCTTGAATGGATTATGTAAAAGTAAAAAAGGTTGCAAGAAAAATGTTGACTGTCTTAATACTGATCAAAATTTATGTGTTCATTTGTCTGAGCTGAAGAATGCTCCTCATTTTTGGACAGAATTTAGCAAACCTGAAGCTGCAGTGAACACTGAAAATGATGAGAATATACAGCTTATTGACCAGGAAATTCAAGAAATTACTGGCAATGACATAGAAGAAGAAATTCCTACTATGAATTCCTGTGACTCTAATTTTGATGTGACTAGTGGACTTTGGTCATTTCCATGCATAAGTAGTCATAAACCACGAAAACAACAAGATCCCAATCTAGTTCAGAATATACAACATCGTTATATATTGGGCGCTCTTAACTTAAACAATGTTGAAAATGGATGCATTAAAGGTCCACATCTTATTCCAGATATTCCAACTTCAGTTTGTCCATGTGGCGCAGGATGGACAAGTAATCAGCAGCTAAATGGTGTAACTACATTTTCCAGAGTACTCACTATCTATACAAAAATAGCACCAGTACAGTGTCAGGTATATAGCAGAAGCTGTGCTAATGAAGAATCACCATGTAAAAAAGCCTGGGATGAAGGAGATAAAGAATGTTTACATGTAGTTACCCGAGATACTGCAGCTGGAGATGAAATTGGTTGGGCATTTGTAAACCAGGTTTTGTCCACTAAAATAACCTTTTCAGCATTCTGTGATTTAAAAACTAAAGACTACAAAGAATGCAATCCTAATTTCAGGTCATTTATGGATTCATCTGTATTCATAAAGTGGTGGTTTAGTTGGGCATCTAATATGAAGATTGACTTTAGGAAACCTTGTCCTATCTGCAAATTTAGACCTAAACAACTTGCTTGTGATGGAACGAAAGTTGGTATTGGATTCAGACATGCTTCTTTTGATGAAATAAGTAAACCAGATAATCCTGACAATATACTTCCTACATTACATCGTAGAATGGCAAGATGCTTCCTTTTCGACAGAGTTGGAGATAAAGAACAACTTAATACTGCCAGACACCATTTGAACTACTTAGCGAAGTTAAACCTTGATAAAGTTCCACCTCAGGAAATATTATCTGATGAAGAAACTCAGCAGAGAAACAACATACTACTAGAAATATTGGACAACTCAGTAAGGCCTTCTTTCGAACGCTTTCTTAATAACATGCCAGATGTGGAAAAGATATCTTATGCCTTCATATTGCATATGCTTTGCACTACTGCACCAGTTATCAGTTTAATTCCCTATTCGTACTTAAATAATCTGACTGAGTTATTAGACCACATTAGTGGCCTTAATATAAATGCTGCTGGAAATGGCTTTTACAACAGAAAAATGTATGAAATGAGAGAGTATGCTCCAGAATTAAGAGATTTGATTGCTTCATCCATGCTTAGTCATGCCAATCCTCAAGGAAATAATTTTGTTCCTGATGATGTCATTACATTTATTCGATATTTGATCAAATGTGTTGCAGATATGGAGATCACTCAACCGGATCCTGCAAATCCACAACCAGGAACATATAACCCAGCTAAGTATGGAAGAGCTTACTACTTTTCAGAAACTGGTGAAAAATTGCGCCCCGTTAGAAAATTTACCATTGACGGTGAGAAGAGAAAAAACCCAGCATATGATGACCCACCTCTTCCCCATGACAACTGTGAGAAATATTTTTCCAAAACCCAAATTTCAGCAAGAGGTACATCAACATTGTTTTTATGGTTTTGTCCAAGTCATGGTCACTGTTATGGTTTTCATATGACCAATGCAGAAGGCAGAAAAGATCCATCAGCCTCCCTTTACTCACATCTGGAGCATCCACCCACGGATATCTTCTATGATTTTGCTTGTAATCTACAGGAGTATTGCCTGAACAGAGAAAGTGGCTATTACCGATGTGTTCGTTTCTTCCATGATATTTTCCATGGGTATTCTCATAAATGCTCATGTGCCTATAGATCTTCAAGACTCCAAGGATTTGACACAATAAACTCTGAAATATGTGAACAATTCAACAGCTTTATCCAGTGTATTAAGTCCTCAGCACGCCAAATGACCCAGGAACATTTTTGTTTTTATCTGCAGTTTTTTTTACATGAATGGAATGAGAGAAAAAGGGAAAAATATCAGAAACGAATTGCAGTGGCAGTTGCTGGAGGTCCATAACTACCAACAATACCCATAATTATTCTTCAAAATGTAATACCAAATAATTTTTCTTGCACATGGATATTTTACTTAAATGCAATATAATTCTCGTCATTTACCAATATCATGAATATACATGTAGCATATATATTTATATATATATAGATATCTCAAAAAAAAATTCTGAATGATGTAAAAATTTATATTAATTGCCTTTTGCCTCTTATAATGGTATAATTAATGTGTTTTTTAACAGGTAAACCTTGTCACAAACAATACCTCATTGAGCAGATTTTTCATAATTCAGTTGTACCGGTAATTAGTTGAATGTCCATTAGTGTTTTAATTGTTCATCAAGTACATTTTTTTAGTAAATACAGCACATGATTACAAAATTTTGGTCAGCATTTAATTTTTGTTTGTTTGTTAAATGTCCTTTAGTATCATAGTATCATATATTTTTGAGGTTGAATGTCCATTTGTATCATAATGTTATATATTGTATTGGTAAAATTTTCCTTTGTTTGTTAAATGTCCCTTAGTATCATAATGTCATATATTTTTGTTGTTCTTTAAGTACATTCTTTGGTAAATGCAATGGTAATATAGTGTTAAATATTTTTTGGTTAAATGTCCCTTTGTTTGTTAAATATCCCTTAGTATCATAATGTAATATATTTTTGTAATTCACTTAGTAAGTTAGTGGTTGTTTTTGGTCAGCATTTCAAAGATTTGGGTTTTTTTTATTTAAATGTCCCTCCGTATTAAAATGGTTAAATTTCTCTTTGTTTGTTAAAAGTCCCTTAAAATCATAGTGTCATATATTTTTTGGTTAAATCTCCCTTAGTATTATAAAGTAATATATTTTTTGGTTAAATTTCTCTTTGTTTGTTAAAAGTCCCTTAATATCATAGTGTCATATATTTTATGGGTAAATCTCCCTTAGTATTATAAAGTAATATATTTTTTGGTTAAATCTCTCTTTGTTTGTTAAAAGTCCCTTAATATCATAGTGTCATATTTTTTTTGGTTAAATGTCCCTTAGTATTATAAAGTAATATATTTTTTGGTTAAATCTCTCTTTGTTTGTTAAATCTCCCTTAATATCATAGTATCATATATTTTTTGGTTAAATGTCCCTTAGTATTATAAAGTAATATATTTTTTGGTTAAATCTCTCTTTGTTTGTTAAATCTCCCTTAATATCATAGTATCATATATTTTTTGGTTAAATCTCCCTTAGTATCATAAAGTAATATATTTTTTGGTTAAATCTCCCTTAGTATTATAAAGTAATATATTTTTTGGTTAAATCTCTCTTTGTTTGTTAAAAGTCCATTAATATCATAGTGTCTTTTTTTGCTTAAATCTCCCTTAGTATAAAGTAATATATTTTTTGGTTAAATCTCCCTTAGTATTATAAAGTAATATATTTTTTGGTTAAATCTCCCTTAGTATTATAAAGTAATATATTTTTTGGTTAAATCTCCCTTAGTATTATAAAGTAAAATATTTTTTGGTTAAATCTCTCTTTGTTTGTAAAAAGTCCATTAATATCATAGTGTCTTTTTTTTTGGTTAAATCTCCCTTAGTATCATAAAGTAATACATTTTTTGGTTAAATCTCTCTTAGTTTGTTAAATCTCCCTTAATATCATAGTATCATATATTTTTTGGTTAAATCTCCCTTAGTATTATGAAGTAATATATTTTTTGGTTAAATCTCTCTTTGTTGGTTAAACATCCCTTATTATCATAGTGCCATATATTTTTTGGTTAAACTCCCTTAGTATTATTTTTTTGGTTAAATCTCCCTTAGTATTATAAAGTAATATATTTTTGGGTTAAATCTCCCTTAATATCATAGTATCATATATATGTTTTGGTTAAATCTCCCTTAGTATTATAAAGTAATATATCTTTGGGTTAAATCCTTCTTTGTTTGTTAAAAGTCCCTTAATATCATAGTATCATATATTTTTTGGTTAAATCTCCCTTAGTATCATAAAGTAATATATTTTTTGGTTAAATCTCTCTTTGTTTGTTAAAAGTCCCTTAATATCATAGTGTCATATTTTTTTTGGTTAAATGTCCCTTAGTATTATAAAGTAATATATTTTTTGGTTAAATCTCTCTTTGTTTGTTAAATCTCCCTTAATATCATAGTATCATATATTTTTTGGTTAAATGTCCCTTAGTATTATAAAGTAATATATTTTTTGGTTAAATCTCTCTTTGTTTGTTAAATCTCCCTTAATATCATAGTATCATATATTTTTTGGTTAAATCTCCCTTAGTATCATAAAGAAATATATTTTTTGGTTAAATCTCTCTTTGTTTGTTAAATCTACCTTAATATCATAGTATCATATATTTTTTGGTTAATCTCCCTAAGTATTTAATATATATATATATATATATATATATATATATATATATTGGTTAAATCTCCCTTAGTATTATAAAGTAATATATTTTTTGGTTAAATCTCCCTTATTATGTTTATGTACCACTTATATTTTTTATTGAAATACATGTTACAATTTACAGGTTATTGAATAAATAACTAAAACCCCTTAGAATATTATGAGTGGCTGCTGTTATATTTGATCAGTATACACCATATGTTTTTATGGGTTTTGGTAGAATCTACAAGCTGCATCTAATTTTAGGATGGTTCAACTGTCCAAGTAAGTTTAGAGAAAGGTATTCTAACCAATAAATTGGTTGATGTTACATGTATGACAATTCTTAACGCTGGTCGTGATAAACCAGTATGAAATATGAAATATTCAAATACATTCTTGAATATTTCCAGAAATAATGAGGGAAAATATTAGTTGTTTTTAAACAGAACCCTTACATGTACTGTTACTGGAGTAGGGTCATAATGTTTCAATTCAAAGTCTATCTAAAGTGGATTGTCAGTAAACCTGCTACACAAACAAGCTTCATCTTTTCAAATCAAATGCAATAACAGTATATATATATATATCAGTCTAGGTGGCAGAGTGGTCTAGAGTGATGGACACACCTAGATACAGTCTGTAAGTATTGTCTGTGGTACTTAGATACAGTCTGTAAGTATTGTCTGGTTCTTACGTACAGTCTGTATTCGATGGGTATATACCCTATATAACGTTCATACACCAATGAGACAGAGTTATTCGATGGGTATAAACCCTATATAACATTTATACACCAATGAGACAGAGTTATTCAATTGGTATAAACCCTATATAACATTCATACACCAATTAGACAGAGTTATTCGGTGGGTATAAACCGTATATAACATTCATACACCAATGAGACAGAGTTATTCGATGGGTATATACCCTATATAACGTTCATACACTAGTGAGACAGAGTTATTCGATGGTTATAAACCCTATATAACGTTCATACACCAATTAGACAGAGTCATTCAATTGGTATAAACCGTATATAACGTTCATACACCAATGAGACAGAGTTATTCGATGGTTATAAACCCTATATAACGTTCATACACTAGTGAGACAGAGTTATTCGATGGCTATATACCCTATATAACGTTCATACACCAATGAGACAGAGTTATTCGATGGGTATATACCCTATATAACGTTCATACACCAATGAGACAGAGTTATTCGATGGGTATAAACCCTATATAACGTTCATACACCAATGAGACAGAGTTATTCGATGGTTATATACCCTATATAACGTTCATACACCAATGAGACAGAGTTATTCGATGGGTATAAACCCTATATAACGTTCATACACCAATGAGACAGAGTTATTCGATTGGTATAAACCCTATATAACATTCATACACCAATTAGACAGAGTTATTCGGTGGGTATAAACCGTATATAACGTTCATACACCAATGAGACAGAGTTATTCGATGGGTATATACCCTATATAACGTTCATACACCAATGAGACCGAGTCATTCGATGGTTATAAACCTTATATAACGTTCATACACCAATGAGACAGAGTTATTCGATGGGTATATACCCTATATAACGTTCATACACCAATGAGACAGAGTTATTCAATGGGTATAAACCCTATATAACATTCATACACCAATGAGACAGAGTTATTCGATGGTTATAAACCCTATATAACGTTCATACACTAGTGAGACAGAGTTATTCGATGGTTATAAACCCTATATAACATTCATACACTAGTGAGACAGAGTGATTCGATGGTTATAAACCTTATATAACGTTCATACACCAATGAGACAGAGTTATTCGATGGGTATATACCCTATATAACGTTCATACACCAATGAGACAGAGTTATTCAATGGGTATAAACCCTATATAACATTCATACACCAATGAGACAGAGTTATTCAATGGGTATAAACCCTATATAACATTCATACACTAGTGAGACAGAGTTATTCGATGGTTATAAACCCTATATAACATTCATACACTAGTGAGACAGAGTGATTCGATGGTTATAAACCTTATATAACGTTCATACACCAATGAGACAGAGTTATTCGATGGGTATATACCCTATATAACGTTCATACACCAATGAGACAGAGTTATTCGATGGTTATAAACCCTATATAACGTTCATACACCAATGAGACAGAGTTATTCGATGGGTATATACCCTATATAACGTTCATACACCAATGAGACAGAGTTATTCGATTGGTTTAAACCCTATATAACATTTATACACCAATGAGACAGAGTCATTCAATGGGTATAAACCATATATAACATTCATACACCAATGAGACAGAGTTATTCGATGGGTATATACCCTATATAACGTTCATACACTAGTGAGACAGAGTTATTCGATGGTTATAAACCCTATATAACGTTCATACACTAGTGAGACAGAGTGATTCGATGGCTATATACCCTATATAACGTTCATACACCAATGAAACAGAGTTATTCGATGGGTATAAACCCTATATAACGTTCATACACCAATGAGACAGAGTTATTCGATGGGTATATACCCTATATAACGTTCATACACCAATGAGACAGAGTTATTCGATTGGTATAAACCCTATATAACATTTATACACCAATGAGACAGAGTCATTCAATGGGTATAAACCATATATAACATTCATACACCAATGAGACAGAGTTATTCGATTGGTATAAACCCTATATAACATTTATACACCAATGAGACAGAGTCATTCAATGGGTATAAACCATATATAACATTCATACACCAATGAGACAGAGTTATTCGATGGGTATAAACCCTATATAACATTCATACACCAATGAGACAGAGTTATTCGATGGGTATAAACCCTATATAACGTTCATACACCAATGAGACAGAGTTATTCGATGGTTATAAACCCTATATAACGTTCATACACTAGTGAGACAGAGTGATTCGATGGTTATAAACCTTATATAACGTTCATACACCAATGAGACAGAGTTATTCGATGGGTATATACCCTATATAACGTTCATACACC